TTTCGTAAAAATCAGTTAAAATTTAGATATATCTCCCATATATATATTTTCGTCCGATTTAAGGTAAATGCTGCACCAAAGCCCGTATATATATTTCGATTTGCACGAAATTTGGCACAGCGTACGGAATTAAGTCCAGAATGATGTGTGCTAAGTTTAGTGAAAATCGGTTTAGATTTAGATATAGCTCCCATATATATTTGCTTCCGATTTTATGTATATGGTGTACCAAAGTCCCTATATATTTTTCGATTTGCACGAAATTTGGTACAGCGTACGGAATTAAGTCCAGAATGATGTGTGGTAATTTTCGGAAAAATTGGTTCAGATTTAGATATAGCTATCATATATATTTTCGTCCGATTTTAGGTAAATAGTACATCAAAGTATGAATATATATTATATATATTCGTGAAAACCGGTTTAGGTTTATATATAGCTCCCATATATATTTTCATCCGATTTTAGATAAATAATGCACCAAATTCTTTAGATATCTTTCGATTTGCACGAAATCCGGCATAACGTACTGAATTAAGTCTGGAACGATGTGTGTAAAATTTCGTTAAATCGGTTTTGCGATTTGCGCGAAATATGGCATATCGTATTGAATTGCGCCTAGAGTGACGTCTGTCAAGTTTCGTGCAAAACGGTTGAGATTTTGATATAGCTCCCATATATATTTTTGTCCGATTTTATGTAAAAGGTGCACCAATGTCCTTATATAATTTTCGATTTGCACGAAATTTTACATAGCATACTGAATTAAGTCTAGACCGATGAGTGTTGAGATTCGTGAAAATCGGTTCATATTTAGATATAGCTCCCAACGACGTAGCCAGAGGGGGCCCCTGTTGAAATTTGTGCAGATGTAGCCATAGCTTCCATATGTATTTTGAACGGGTGTCTGATTGAAATTAAAATTTTAATAGTGCGGCGTACCGAATATCGTTTATTAGTTTTGCTATACATCGTTTTCCATAAAGTTTTCTCATGGTACGCAGACGGCACTACATATGCCCGAATGAAATTAAATTTAGCATAGGTTGCACAAAGACATGAGTATGTCCCTTCGAGGGAACATTGACATGCAATTGTAAGGATATAAAAGGATAATATACCCAAAGTGGTGAAGGGGTTTTCAAGGTTCTTCCTAAGGCGTGGATTTTTTAAAAGGAAATTTTCAAGGTTCTTCCTAAGGCGTTGATTTTTTTAAAGAAAAATTTCAAGGTTCTTCCTAAGGCGTGGATTTTTTAAAAGAAAAATTTCAAGGTTCTACCTAAGGCGTGGATTTTTTAAAAGACAATTTTCAAGGTTCTTCCTAAGACGTGGATTTTTTAAAAGGAAATTTTCAAGGTTCCTCCTAAGGAGTGGATTTTTTAAAAGGAAATTTTCAAGGTTCCTCCTAAGGCGTGGATTTTTTAAAAGAAAATTTTCAAGGTTCTTCCCAAAAGCGTGGATTTTTTAAAAGAAAATATTCAAGGTTCTTCCTATGGCGTGGATTTTTTTAAAGAAAATTTTCAAGGTTCTTCCTAAGGCGTGGATTTTTTAAAAGAAAATTTTCAAGGTTCTTCCTAAGGCGTGGATTTTTTAAAAGAAATTTTTCAAGGTTCTTCCTAAGACGTGGATGTTTTACAAGAACATTTTCAAGGTTCTTCCTAAGGGGTGGATTTTTTACAAGAAAAATTTCAAGGTTCTTCCTAAGACGTGGATGTTTTACAAGAAAAATTTCAAGGTTCTTCCTAAGGGGTGGATTTTTTACAAGAAAAATTTCAAGGTTCTTCCTAAGACGTGGATGTTTTACAAGAAAAATTTCAAGGTTCTTCCTAAGGGGTGGATTTTTTAAAAGTTATATATACTATTATACTTATTCAATATTAGCCACCCTGCCTTCTTCCAATCTCTTAACCACTTCTTAGCTTCTTTTATTGTGAACAATTTTATGTTGCCATGTTTTTTTTCTATTTCAATTTCCAACTAAAATTTTATTATAATATCTTTGCCCAGAAACGAGAAGCTGGAGGTTGGTGTTCTTCTTTGGCTTACTAATATTAAGTGAATGAATGAATTTCAGAAAAAAACGACTAGTGTTCTGCTACCAACTCTCCTCCTCTTCAGATTCTTTTGTCATCCTTACCAGAATAATTGTTACCTTAATGGCCAAGCAGTGGTGTTAATGGAAAACAGACTACCTTTCATTGTCTGGCTGTTTGTCAACCCCCCTAACCGCCCTCCCTCTACCATCCTTCCCTTACCTTTCGTGCTCATTTCATTTAGTTTTTAATTTTTGCCCAACAAAGGCTGACTATTCCGGCTTCATGGAAATACTGAATGGATGCCTCTGTGTGTGTGTGTGTGCAATAACAGAAAAAAAGTTACAACTTTTCCCAAAAATAGTTTCTCAGTTTTCAGTGCAGTTCGTTTTGTTTCTCTCTGAAATTCCATATTTTTTTAATGATGCCATATTTTGATAATTAAATAGCATTTAATTAAAATTCGCTGTCCAACTTTGGGAGGGGTTTCTTTTCGTTGTAATTTCGGATATTAAATGCCATGAATTGCAGATACTGTTTGTCTGTGTTGGCAACCGTCGATGGTGTTTCGCTGATAGCTCCGTGGTGGAATCCTACCTGCTGCGTGCCATTTTGTTTTCCGCTGGGTTATTTGTAATTCCCCAATTTCAGTGCAATTTTCATTTACTTTTGATGCGGCAGTACCCGCAGCAGCAGCAACATCCTTTGACCATTTAGTGGCCAAAAATATTTATAAATTATTTATTTTGAAATGTAAGCCGCTTACATTATTTTATTGCTTTTTTCGTTTGTTTTTGCGAACGAGGTAATTACACTTAACAATGAACAATTTATTGGTAGAGTATTTAGGGACTATTAATGGTAGAATAAAAGTAGAAAATTAAAGCTATATCTAAATCTGGACCGATTTTCACGAAATTTGGCAGACGTCACACCAGGGTCAATTCAGTAAGTTATGCCAAATTTCGTGCAAATCAAAAGATATATATGTACTTTTGTCCACCATTTACATAAAATCGGATGAAAATATATATGGGAGCTATAACTAAATCTAGACCGAATTCCTCGAAACTTGGTAGACATCACTCTAGTCTAAATTCAGTACGCTATGTCAAATTTCGTACAAATCGAAAGATATATAGGGATTTTGGTATACCATTTACATAAAATCGGACGAAAATATATATGGGAGGTATAGCTAAATCAGAACCGATTTTCGCGAAACTTGGCAGACATCACTCTAGGCTCAAGTCAGTACGTTATGCCGAATTTCGTGCAAATCGAAAGATATATAAGGACCTTTGTGAACCATTTACACAAAGCCGGCCGAAAATATACATGGGAGCTATATCTAAACCTGTACCGATTTTCGCTAAACTTGGCAGACATCACTCTAATCGCAATTCCGTACGCCATGCCAAAGTTCGTGCAAATCGAAAGATATATAGGTACTTTGGTGCCCCATTTACCTTAAATCGGACGAAAATATATATGGGAGCTATATCTAAATCTGAACCGATTATTACGAAATTTAACACACATCATTCTAGGATTAATTCGGTACGCTGTGCCAAATTTCGTGTAAATCGAAGGATATATAGGGGCTTTGGTACACCATTTACATTAAATCGGATGAAACTATATATGGGAGCTATATCTAAATCTGAACCGATTGTCACGAAATTTAACACACATCATTCTAGGCTAAATTCAGCACGTCATGCCAAATTTCGTGCAAATCGAAAGATATATAGGGACTTTGGTGCCCCATTTACCTTAAATCGGACAAAACTATATATGGAAGCTATATCTAAATCTGTATCGATTTTCACGAAACTTGACAGACATCACTCTGTGCGCATTTCCGTACGTCATGCCAAATTTCGTGCAAATCGAAAGATATATAGGGACTTTGGTGCACCAATTACCTTAAATCGGACGAAAATATATAGGGGAATTATATCTAAATCTGAACCGATTTTTCCCAATTTCAATAAGGTTCGTTCTTGGGCCAAATAAGTGACATGTACCAAATGTCATCCAATTCCGATTATAAATGCGTCCTCTACTTTGTTTAAAATTTAACACCAACAGTCGGACGGACATGCATAAATCGACTAAGGAAGTGATTCTATGCATATTCTCAAAAGGAACGATGGGTCTATCTCGTCTCCTTTTGCCTGTTACAAACACATGCACAAAGACATAATACCCTGTACCACAATGTGGGAAGGGTATAAAAATGGCGCCCAATATGTAAATCCTTAAAAAAAAGTTTGTTTCAAATCCTTGACCTCGGCGTTTGTGAGAGTCCTTGAAACAGCCTTTTATTATTATTTCATTATTTCATCCCTTTCAATTCATTTAATTTAAAGCATACTTTTAGGATGTCACAATCATTCCCTGCCGTTTTCATTTTCCTTATTAATTAATAGTTCCGACTGTTTGTTGTTCACTACAAATTTACACAGCCATTACAGGTGTTAAATATCTTTACAAACGGATTTACCGTTATAGACAATTTTAATTACCATTGTATATGACATTTATGGTCTTTAATTAAGGATATCATCAGGGGAAAATGGAAATTCGATTTGCAGGGTAGGAAAATGCAATGGGCGGATGTGATTGAAAGTAAGGGGGAGGATTTTGGAATAATCGCAAGGGGCCTCTATAACAATTGTGAGACTTTGGACAATATTGCAGAGTCAAGTCTTTTCGAAGTCCAATTTCAAAAAGGCTGGGCAAAAAGGCCCTCAAACATAATTTCCCTTTTGGGCGTGGAAATGGATAAAATCCAGCAACTATTTAAGGCCATGATTTCCACAAAACCACAACTCAATAGTCGTTTTTATTTCATTTGTGATTAACACTTAACCGCAGAACGTTTATTCGAAAGTGTTTATTGCTGTTCTACAAAGAAAAAAGAAAAAAAGACATCCGAGAGTGAAAAAAAACCCCGAAACGATGACGAAAATATTAAAACGTTATTTCCGTTTGCAGCGCTTTATTTTCTCTGGCCTTGGCTTGGACATTTCTGCAACACCAGAAAAAATGGTCAAACGTCCGCTGCTGATGATGACTCCCCTGGTCATGTCCATACTCCTGTGCATTGCCAATGGCCATTATGTGCTGGATAATGCAAGCGATTATTTGGAGGCCACCGATTCATTGACCCTACTGTGCCAGTCGTTAATCTCCGTGTGGAAAGTGATTATGGTTATATGGAAGCGTAAAGAATTTGCCAATATGATTGCACGTATCGAACGTTTGAATGTGAGGGGTGAGGAGAAAATTTTGTATTTTGGGGAAAATTAAAATTTCAGGACCATTAAAATTGCCCTTCACTTGCAGCTGAGGGTGAAGAATTGAAAATCGTACGCAAAGAAAATACTCGAGATATTATTTTCTCAACCACTTACTTTGTATTGGTATTGCTGACGGGAGCATGGAGCCTGCTGGTGCCGATTTATTTTGCTGTGCACGTTTACGTGACCACAGGTGAAGTTGATTTACCGGTGCCGCATAAAGCCACGTAAGTTTGGATGTGGAAAAAAAATTTCATTTTTTTTTAATACAAAATTTTTGAGAACAAAGTACTTACAAGCGTACAACAGGGCGTATAGCTAATATTGTGGAGGACAGTAGTTATACGCACCCTATGGTCTTAAAGAGAAAAGGATTTTTCAAAGAATAATTTTTTAAAGTATAAAATAGACTGGAGTTTTTTAAAAATACATTTTCAAGGGTCAACAATAGGCGTGGATTATTTAAAAAATATTTTTTTTCAAGATTCATCGAATAGGAGTGGATTTAAAAAAAGGATTTTTTATTGTTTTTGAATGTCTTTTTCGAGGATTTACACAAGGTGTGGATTTTTAAAAAGTTTTTTTATAAAAATTTTAGGTTTTTTAAGAATATATTTTTTTTTATAAATTTTGGATTTTGAAAAATATTTTTTCCAGGATCTACACAAGGCGTGGATTTTTTACAAATTTATTTTCAAGGATTTTTGATGTTTTAAAAATAATTCCTTTAAGAATCTACAGAAGGCGTGGATTTTTTAAAAATATTTTTTCAAGGATTTTAAATGTTCTAAAAAAAATTTTCAAGGATCTACAGATGTCGTGGATTTTTTAAAAATATTTTTTCAAGGATCTACATAAGGCGTTTTAAAAATAATTCCTTCAAGGATCTACAGAAGGCGTGGATTTTTTAAAAAAAATTTTTCTAGGATTTTGGATGTTCTAAAATTTTTTTTTTCAAGGATCTACAGATGGCGTGTATTGTTTAAAAATATTTTTTCAAGGACCTACAGAAGGCGTAGATTTAAAAAAAAATGTTCTAGGATTTTGGATGTTCTAAAAAAAAAATCAAGGATCTACCGAGGGCGCGGATTTTTTAAAAATATTTTTTCAAAAATTTTGAATTTTTTAAAAATATTTTTTCAAAAGTTTTGGATTTTTTAAAAATATTTTTTTTTTTGAAATTTTGGATTTTAAAAAATATTTTTTCCTGAATCTACACAAGGCATGGATTTTTTACAAATATATTTTCAAGGATTTTGGGTGTTTTAAAAATAATTCTTTCAAGGAACACCAGAAGGCGTGGATTTTTTACAAATAGTTTTTCAAGGATTTTGAATGTTCTAAAAAAATTTTCAAGGATCTACAGAAGGCGTGGATTTTTTAAAAATATTTTTTCAAGAATTTTTGATGTTCTAAAAATTTTTTTTCAAGGATCTACAGAAGGTGTGGAATTTAAAAAAGAAATTCTAGGATCTACACAAAGAGTGGATTTTTCAAGGACTTTTAAAAATATTTTTTAAAAATCTACACAAGGCGTGGGCTTTTTCTATGTAGGCGTGAAAAATATTTTTTCAAGGATCTACCAAAGGCGTAATTTTTATGCCCTTCACCACTATGTGGCACAGGGTATTATGTCTTTGTGCATATGTTTGTAAGAGGCAAAGATAATCGAGATAGACCCATGGTTCCTTTTGAGAATATGCATCGAATAACTTTCTGAGTCGAATTATGCATGTCCGTCTGTCCGTCCGTCCGACTGTCCGTCCATGTATTTTTGTAAACAATGTACAGGTCGCATTTATGATCCGATTTGGATGATATTTGGCACAGACCCTATATATCCTTAGATTTGCCCAAAATTTGGCATGGCGTAATGAATTAGATGTGTGTAAAATTTCTTAAAAATCGGTTCAGATTTCGATATAGCTCCTATATATATTTTCGTCCGATTTAATGTAAACGGTCCACCAAAGTCCCTATATATCTTTCGATTTGCACGAAATTTGGCACAGCGTAGTGAAATAGGTCTAGAATGATGTGTGTTAAGTTTCGTGAAAATCGGTTCAGATTTAGATATAGCTCCCATATATATTTTCGTCCGATTTCAAGTAAAAGTCCCTATATATCTTTGGTTTTGCACGAAATTTGGCATAGCGTACTAAATTAAGTCTGGAATGATGTGTGTTAAGTTTCGTGGAAATCGGTTCAGATTTAGATATTGTTCCCATATATATTTTGCCGATTTAATGTAAATGGTCCACCAAAGTCCCTATATATCTCTCGATTCGCACGAAATTTGGCACAACGTAATGGATTAGGTCTAAAATGATATGTGTTAAGTTTCCTGAAAATCGGTTCAGATTTAGATAGATATAGCTTCTATATCTGACCAAATGAACAATTTAGTATCGGTTGCAGAATGACATGTTTATGGATCCAATTTCATTTTACGGGTCCTTTAAAATGCGACCTCTGTTAGGATTCATCTGTTGAATATACCTAAAGTGGTGAAGGGTTTCATATAGTCGGCCCCGTCCGACTTTACTACTTTCCTTACCAGTTTTCAACGATCTACCAAAGGCGTTGATATTGAACATTTGTGTTAGTATCTCTCTCTACTTATGGCTTGGGGTTTAAACACATTTTTTGTTTATTTTCATTTTTCAATTCCTTTAGCAGCCCAATAATAATTTGTTCGACCTTTTATGACATCCGCCCGCTTTGTTGACCGACCTTATGATAATTGTTAACATTTTGTATTATTTCCGTCCCAGTTGTAGTTGTTGCCTTTGTGTGTTTGTGTTTGCACATTATGGTTTCCTTTCACTGTTTGCCGACCCTTTTCCGGAGGACTTGTTTCCGTTTCCTCTCTTTCAATTTGGGGACTAGGTTGTGTGATTCGATTCGACTTATTTCATGTTTTTTTTTTTTGTTTTCGCTTGCAGTTACTTTTGGAATCATGAACACGTTAAAGGTTATTCTTTGGTTTACATTTGGGACGTTTTCATCATCTACTTCATAGCCTGTTCGGCTGTCAGCACCGAGAGTATGTTCTCATGGTTGGTGTGCAATATCATTGCCCAGTTTCGTATTCTAATGCATCGTTTGGAGTTGGCGTCACAGATGATGGCAGGCCAACCGGTTGCCATCACCGAGCATCATGTGGACGATGATGATGATAATCCCCAGATGGGTGAACTGGATCCAAGGGGAACAATGGTGGATGGCATCATTGCCTGTGTCAAATTTCATCGTCGTACTTTGCGTTTGACACAGGAGCTAAACAGTCTCTATGGGGCCATCATATTTGTAAAGTTTATTGTTTCCGGAACGCAGATATGTTGCCTGGCATTTCATTTGGTGCGCGGTAATAATTCGCTATTTAATGTGGCCTATTTGTGTATGTTTCTATCGGCGGCTGCCCTGCAATTGATACTGTACTGTTACAATGGTCAGAGGCTGAAGGATGAGGTAAAGTGGATTTTAACAGAATTTTGCACTTTAATTTGAGAATTTAATTTCGCTGTAAATGTTTGGTAATATGGGGCGTATGATATACACCCAGGTGGAAATATTCATTATACGCGTGGGGGTTGGGTATTTTTAGGAATATGATCCAAGATTTTTTTTTGAATATTCTTTGAAGGACCAGAAATAGGCGTGGATTTTTTAAAAGTATTTTTTTAAGGGTTACCTAAGGCGTGGATTTTTATACCCTTCACCACATTGTGGTACAGGGTATTATGTCTTTGTGCATATGTTTGTAACAGGCAGAAGGAAGAGAGATAGACACATGGTTCCTTTTGAGTGTATGCATAGAATCACTTTCTAAGCCGATTTATGCATGTCCGTCCGTCCGTCCGGCCGTCCGGCCGTATATCTGTCCATGCTAAATTAGAAACAAAGTACAGGTCGCATTTATGATACGAATTGGAAGAAATTTGGCATAGGTCACTTATTTGGCCCAAGGATGAACTCTATTGAAATTGGGGAAAAAATCGGTTCAGGTTTATATATAGCTCCTATATATATTTTCGTCCGATTTTATGTAAATGGTGCACTAAAGTCCCTATATATCTTTCGATTTGCACGAAATTTGGCATGTCGTGCTGAACTAAGCCTAGAATGATGTGTAATAAGTTTCGAAAAAATCTGGTCAGATTTAGATATAGCTCTCATATATATTTTCGTCCGATTTAAGGTAAATGGGCCACCAAAGTCCCCATATATATCTCGACTTGCACGAAATTTGGAATAGAGTAGTGAATTAGGTCCAGAATAATGTGTGTTAAATTTCGTGAAAATCGGTTCAGATTTAGATATACCTCCCATATATATTTTCGTCCGATTTTATGTAAATGGTGCACTGAAGTCCTTACTTATTCTTCGATTTTCACGAAATTTGGCACAGCATACTGTATTAAGTCTAGAATGAATTGTGTAAACTTCTGTGAAAATAGGTTCAGATTTAGATTTAACTCCTATATATATGTTCGACCGATTTAATGTAAATGGTGTACAAAAGTCCCTATACATCTTTCGATTTGCACGAAATTTGGCACAGCGTAATGAATTAGGTCTAGAATGATGTGTGCTAAGTTTCGTGAAAATCGGTTCAGATTTAGATATAGCTCCCATATATATTTTCGTCCGATTTAAGGTAAATCGTCCACCAATGTCCCTAAATACATTTCGATTTGCACGAAATTCGGCATAGTGCACTGAATTAGGTCTAGAGTGATGTGTGTTAAATTTCATGAAAATCGGTTCAGATTTAGATATAGCTCCCATATATATGTTCGACCGATTTAATGTTAATAGTTCAGTAAAGCCCCTATATATCTTTACGATGTGGACGAAATTTGGCACAGCATACTGAATTAAGCGTAGAATGATGAAAATCGGTTTTGTGAAAATCGGTTTTGTGAAAATCGGTTTTGTGAAAATCGGTTGAGATTTAGATATAGCTCCCATATATATGTTCGACCGATTTTATGTAAATGGTGTACCAAAGTCCCTATATATCTTTCAATTTGGACGAAATTTGGCATATGGTACTGAATTGAGTCTAGAATGATGTGTGTAAAGTTTCCTGAAAGTCGGTCCTGATTTAGATATAGCTCCCATAAATATTTTCGTCCGATTTAATGTAAAAGGTGTACCAAGGTCACTATTTATCTTTCGATTTGCACGAAATTTGGTGTAGTGTACTGAATTATGTCTAGAATGATGTGTGTTAAGTTTCGTGAAAATCGGTTTAGATTTAGATACAGCTCCCATATATATTTATGTCCGATTTAAAGTAAATGGGGCTCCAAAGTCTCTATATATCTTTCGATTTGCACGAAATTTGGCATATGATACTGAATAGAGTCTAGAATGATGTGTGTCAGGTTTCGAGAAAATTGGCTCAGATTTAGATATAGATAGGATACATCTGTAGAATTTACCCAAAGTGGTGAAGGGTATCATATAGTCGGCCCAGTCCGACTTTACTACATTCCTTACTGGTTTAAGAGTACAAATAAGTCGTAATTTGTATTTTAATGTAATTTACCCTAATTCTGTTGTGCACTTGGGCGTATGATGCACACCCCAGCTGCAAATGTTAATCATACGCATTATTGCACCACTTAGCTACTTGTTTTTCTAAATTTTATTATCTCAATAAAATATTTTGTCTTATTTAATTTTTAAAATTCCAACAATATTTATTTTTCATGAACTTTATACTACATTCCAACCTCCTCTGTGGAATGCCCTAACGCACACCCCCAGAGCTTATTGGTGACAACGAAAATCTATTCGACATTCCCCTGGTCCAAGATGCCCGTCTCAACACAACGCATGTTGGTGATACCAATGATCCGTGCCCAGCAATTTAGTGAACTGCGTGGGGTATTCTTTACTGTCGATTTGAGTTTGTATTTGTGGGTAAGATTCCAAAGCTCTGCTGTTTGTGTGGAATATTCATGGTTATTGCCATGAATATTTGCATATTTTGAAAATATTTCTTTTTTCCATTTGTGTTTTTTTATTTTATTTTATCAAAAACACTTAAAACAATGTTTGTTATTCATGTTTTTTAATTTTTTGTTTGTGTGTGTTGCTTTGTTTTTTATTCGTAATGCATTTTGCTCTGCAGGTCTTTCGTACTGCTGGTTCGTTGATTGCAGCTTTAAAGACTTTAGAGGAGAAAGAATAATTTTTTGTTGTGAAAGAAGTGCTTGGATAAGTACTCTAAAGAAAGGAACAACAAAGGAGTAGCAACAACCACTTTGCCAAGTGGACGTCATGTTGTACAATTTATGAATTTCAGATTATTTTATTAAAATAGCAACAACAATAGCAATAAAATAGAAAATTAGAACTACTTCTTTTATGAATATTTTATTGGTTTGAAGGAGGGTAAAAACCTCCTGGGCGGTAAGAGCTCTAGGAATAATTTTTGGAGTTTTAGGGGTTATTTTGTTTAAAAAATAAACCAAATCGAGGAATTTTTAAAAATATTTTTTTAAGGATAACCTAAGGCGTGGATTTTTTTTAGAGATATTTTTATTTTCCAATATTTTTCAATAATTTTTAATTTGGAAATTTGCTTTGAATTTTTGCCTGGGTGGCATAGGGGATGATAGATACCAAGCAAGGGCTCTGATTGGCTTTAACATGGCGAAGTCCAGGCTTATCTTGGTCCCTCTTTCATCTCAATTGTGGACACTGACCTCCCCATGGTGCCACCTGGGGTAAGTAACTATTTTCATCACCCGTTGAAATAGTGAAATAATATGTGCCGCGAGTTTACCCATAAGAATTATAAAGAAATAGGTTAAGGCGTTGGGTTAGTTGCCCACACTCGGAAAATCCTCCTACTATGAAAAAGGTAAAGAAAAAGTAAACCAAACCCCCCTAATGTTGACGACCCCCGCAAAACGTATTAAGGACGACGATCTGCGAATCTGCACTTGCAATGGGCGCACGTTGTGCAAAACAGGCGCAGCTTTCACCTTGGCGGATGTACTCAAGAAGTACAAAGCCGATATTATTGCCTTACAGGAAGTGCGATGGAAAGGGACAGGCGTAAGTAAATACGAAGATTCCCCCTTGATTATAGCTGACATGAAACCAGACATGAATTTGGCTGCGGATTTATGGTTAATAGGAGAATAAAAGACCTCGTCTCCAGTTTCACTCCAGTAGATGAGCGAATTGCTATAATCCGCATAAAAGCGAAGTTCTTCTACAACAGTCTTCGTTACGCCCATGCTCCTACCGAAGATAAAGATGAGCAGACCAAAGATATATTTTACGAGTGCCGCTACCCTGGCCATGACATAAAAATTCTGCTAGGAGATTCTTTTATGCAAAAATCGGAAGGGAAAATATATTTGGCCCCACCGTCAGAAAATTCAGCCTTCATGAAGAAACATCCGACAATGGCATGGTAGTTAGCAGCACCAGATTCACGCATCTCGATATACACAAGGCCACATGGATTTCTCCTGATCAAGCAACGAGAAATCAAATTGATTACGTTGTGATAGACGCAAGGCATTCATCCAGTGTTTTAGACGTTCGATTGATACGAAGAGCGAATATCGATTCGGACCAGTACCTTGTAGCAGCCAAGGTTCGCACTCGTCTTAATGTTGCAGCAAAGTTTCGATCTAATACAACACGATAATAGTATAGAAGCACAATGGCAAAGAATTGCCCACTTCCTACAAACTGCAGCAAAAGCAAAACTTGGGTACCAAATATTAACATCGAGAAACCCATGGGGTGTCTTAATCCTACTGATGTGAAAAACCCTGCAGATAGTAGCAACACGTAATGTGATGAAGAAATATCGTTAGAAACAGGAGTCAGAATAAGGTCCGAAAATTTTATCAACGAGTAAAACACCAAACCGAAGCTTTTGGTGCAGGCACAACCTCCTGCAGAGATAAAGAAGGCAACCTGGTGACAGATACCGACAGCGTGTTGAGGATCTGGAAGGAGTATTTTGAAAAGCTTCTGGTATCAAATAGTGGCGGTTAAGAAGATACCCCAGAACCAATAGGATATGATAATATAGAGTGTATACCACCTAGCCAAGATGAGGTCACAATAGCAATTAATCGGCTCAAGAACAATAAAGCAGCAGGACGGGTTACCAGTCGAACTATTTAAGACTGGTGGTCAGATGCTGGTCAGGAACATGCACCAGCTGATTAGTAGAATTTGGCTAGAGGAAAGCATGCCCAATGATTGGAACCTCAGCATCCTGTGTCCCGTGCACAAAAAAGGAGACAAGACGATATGTGCCAACTATAGAACAATAAGTCTCCTTCCGATCGCATGAAAAATGCTATCCAGCGCGCTGTGTAAACGACTGAAGCCAATGTTCAACGACATTATTGGACCATACCAATGGGGCTTCAGACCTGGCATGTCCATCACTGACCAGATTTTCACTCTGCGCCAAATCCTGGAAAAGACCCACGGAAAACACATCGACACATTCCACCTATTCGTCGACTATAAAGCCGCATACGATAGCCCTATCCGTTCAGAGGTGTCTGCGTTTGGCATTCCTGCAAAATTAATTCGGCTATGCAGGATAACTTTAACGGGCACAATATCAGCAGTTAAAGTGGGAAAGGACCTATCGGAGTCCTTCAATACCGAACGAGGATTTAGAAAAGGTGATAGTTTGTCGTGTGATCTTTTTAATATCCTGCTGGAAAAGGTCATACGAGAGGCGAAGGTCAACAGAAATGACACTATGTACACCAAACAACATATGTTACTCGCCTACGCCGATGACATCGATATAATGGGTCGAACATTGCGAGAGGTAATAGAAACCTTTGAACAAATTGAGAAGGAGTCTGCCAAGGGGGGTCTGGCAGTAAACGGCGAGAAGACCATGTTGATGGTATCGACGCGCAAGATGTCCAGTAGACTCGAACCAACTGTGGAACTTGAGAACTACATCTTCGAGGATTTCATATACCTTGGTACCGCCATAAATAAAACGAATGACATCAGTTTTGAAATTCGGAGAAGGATTGTGATGGCCAACAGATGCTACTGTGGTCTAAGTAAGTAGTTTAGAAACAAGGCCACCTCCCGCTAGACCAAACTCACTCTTTATAAGACGCTGATATATATGGATCTGAAGCATGTGTACTTTCACAAGTAGATGAGGCAGCTCTTGGGGTGTTTGAAACAAAATTTCTTCGAAAGATCTATGGGCCGATCTGCGTCGACGGTGAATATCGGCGTAGAATGAACCACGAGTTTTACAATTCATACGCGGACATCGACATAGTCATTCGTATTGAGCTTCAGCGACTACGATGGGCATGCCCCAGCTCAAAAAGCATATAAAAGCGAGCCTACTGATGGTTCCCGTAGAAGGGGAAGGCCATGAATTAGATAGAATGACTAAGTAGAAAACAACATCTTGGAACGTGGTCTTTCAAATTGGAGGGGACGCGCACGCTCGGCTTATGGGACACCCGTTCTGTAACAAGCTGCCTAACAATATACATTATCTCTCAGCTAATATTTGCTCTTACATTGTATGCATTACGCAAAATACTTTTACTGCTTATATTATCCTTGCCAAGTCCTTTCGTTCATTTACCAAAAAAAAAAAAATTATAGCAATTACTTAAAATAAATTACTATGCTTGTGTATATTGTATATATATTTTTGTATATAGTTAATTGTAAATGCGTTTTTAAGTGTACATTTTGGTATGCAATGAATGGCCATTGTTGTTGTTGGATGGATGGGGGGATGGTCAGTATCTCTGTTTTTTCGTTTTTTTTTTTTTTTTTGTTGGGGATACTTTTTCGCTTTCTGCTGTGATGTTATGGCCAGCAGAGATGGTTTTTGGTCATTTGTACGATAATGCTGTGTTCAGGATATGACTAATACAATAGCAAAACTATATATACGATGCAATGCAGTTAATATCAGAGATGCCAATGAAAGAATATTTTTAAAAATCAATACCCATTGGTAGAACTTAAACAAATATATTTTTAAACCAGAAGAGGAAAGTAGTAAAGTCGGACGGGACCGACTATATGATATCCTTCACCACTTTAGGTATATTCGACAGATGAATCCTTACAGTCGTTGCATTTCTAAAGGACCAATAAAATGAAAGTGGATTCATAAACATGTCATTCTGCAACCGATACTAAATTTTTCATTTGGTCAGATATAGAAGCTATATCTAAATCTGAACCGATTTTCAGGATACTTAAAACACATCATTCTAGACTCAATTCATTACGTTGTGCCAAATTTCGTGCAACTTGAATGATATATAGGGACTTTGGTACACCATTTACTTTAAATCAGAAGAAAAGTATATATGGGAGCTATATCTAAATCTGAACCGATTTTCACGAAACTTAACACACATCATTCTAGACCTAATTAATTACGCTGTGCCAAATTTCGTGCAAATCGAATGATATATAGGGCCTTTGCTGCACCATTTACCTTAAATCGGACGAAAATATATATGGGAGCTATATCTAAATCTGAACCGATTTTCACGAAACTTAACACACATCATTCTAGACCTAATTAATTACGCTGTGCCAAATTTCGTGCAAATCGAATGATATATAGGGCCTTTGCTGCACCATTTACCTTAAATCGGACGAAAATATATATGGGAGCTATATCTAAATCTGAACCGATTTTCAGGAAACTCAACACACATCATTCTAGACCTAATTCATTACCCTGTGCCAAATTTCGTGCAAATCGGAACATATATAGGGACTTTGGTGCACCATTTACATTAAATCGGACGAAATTTGTATGGGAGCTATATCTAAATCTGAACCGATTTTCACGAAACTTTGTACACTTTATTATAGACCTAATTCATTACGCTGTGCCAAATTTCGTGCAAATCGAAAGATAGATAGGGACTTTGGTACACCATTTACCTTAAATCGAACGAAAATATATATGGGAGCTATATTAAAATTTGCACCGATTTTTCTCAATTTCAATAGGGTTCGTCCTAAATGCGAACTGTACTTTGTTTACAATTTAACATGGACAGATAGGCGGACAGATGGACGGACATGCATAAATTGACTCTGAAAGTGATTCTATGTATATTCTCAAAAGGAACCATGTGTCTATCTTGTTTCCTTTTGCCTGTTACAAACATATGCACAAAGACATAATACCCTGTACCACAGTGTGGTGAAGGGTATAAAAATCCAGGCCTATTGGTACCACTTGAAATATATATTTAAAACCCCATGATTATTGACTCTACTCCTATTGGTGGACCTTGAAAAAATAATTTTCAAAAACCCACGCCAATTGAAGTACTGAAAAAATATTTTTAAAAAATTTCCGCTTACAATTGTTTTAATATGGCAACTCTGCTTTACCATTTAACGATATCCTAATTCACATTTATTTCCATTCGCTAATAAAAATTCCCAGAAAATGGGTTCTGCATTAATTTAGAGGATTATCAGATATTTTTGCATTACATTCATGGCAGTGGAGGTGTATGTCCTTAGGACTTGTTATGTGTGTGTGAGTGTGTTGCACATTATGGTAAGAGTTTTCATTGTTGTTGCAACAAAAATAACCTTTTTTTAATTAAAACCCTCATGTCCAAACATTTCGGTGTGTGTGTGTGCGAGGGTACTAAAGACCAGTTGTAGTTAGATGTTGTAGTTGTTGTAAACTATTTCCGGTTTCCTCAAACGCTACAACGCTGAGTGGTCATTAAGTCGGGAGAGGGCGTGGAGATTTTTTGCAATACATTTAATTTGTACTTGCTTATTATTCTGCAACGAAGTGGCAAATTTAACTACAAATTTCTGTGCATGTGCATTGAATGGAAATTATAGGGAATTGTGCTGCAAGGTAGAACTGCGAATGATAATTTTAACATAATTTCCTTTGAAAGGGGGTTGTTTTTAGTTTTGTTGGCCGAACTAAACGCAGATTTGTTAAATGCCAACTGCATATAAATTACATTTTCCTGCCCTGTTATTATATAACACAAATAATTAGAGCAAGAATGTGGGGAGTAGCTACAAGAAGTCCGCTAGGAACGAATATTATATACCCTAAGGAAAAAAGATTTTTTTCAAGACTGGATTTTTTGAAAATTTTTTTTCCAGGACTAACACAAGGCGTGGATTTTTTTTATATTTTTTTTTCAAGACTATCACTAGGCTTGGACTTTCCAAAAATATTTTTCTACATCTTGTGTATGTCCTTGAAAAAATATTCTTTTAAAGATCCACACCTTGTGCAGATCCTGGAAATATATTCTTTAAAAATCTACACCATGTGTAGATCCTTGAAAAAATATTCTTCAAAAGATCCACGCCATGTGTAGATCCTTGAAAAAATATTCTTAAATCTGAACCGATTTTCACAAAACTTAACGCACATCATTCTAGGCTTAATTTAGTACGCTGTGCCAAATTGGTGCAAATCGAAAGATATACAGGGACTTTGGTGCACAATTTACATTTAATCGGACGAAAGTATATATGGGAGCTATATCTAAATCTGAACCGATTTTCAGGAAACTTAGCACACATTATTCTAGGCCTAATTCATTACGCTGTGTCAAATTCCGCGGAAATCGAAAAATATACAGGGACTTTGGTGTACAATTTACATTTAATCGGACGAAAATATATATGGGAGCTATTTCTAAATCTGAACCGATTTTCACGAAACTTGGCACACATCATTCCAGACTCAATTTAGTACGCTATACCAAATTTCGTGCAAATCGAAAGATATATAGGGACCTTGGTACACCATTTACATTAAATCGGATGAAAATATATATGGGAGCTATATCTAAATCTGAACCGATTTTTCAATAGGTTTCGTCCTTAGGCCAAATAAGTGACCTTTGACAAATTTTATCCAAATCGAATCATAAATGCGACCTTTACTTTGTTCACAAAAACACATGGACACCTTGTGTAGGTCTTTGAAAAAATATTCTTAAAAAGATCCGCGCCTTGTATAGATCCTTGAAAAAATATTCTTAAAAGGCTCCACGCCATGTGTAGATCCTTGAAAAAATATTCCTTAAAAAATCCACTCCTCTGTAGGTCCTGGAAAAATATTCTTTAAAAAATCCACTCCTCTGTAGGTCCTGGAAAAAATATTTTTTTAAAAAATCCACGCCTCTGTATGTCCTGGAGAAATATTCTTTAAATATCCATGCCTATTTCAGTCCTAAAAAAATGCTTTTAAAAACACGCCTCTGTAGGTCCTGGAAAAAATATTCTTTAAAAAATCCAATCCAGGGCCTACAGAGGTCCTGGAAAAAATCCACGCCTCCCTGAACAAATATTATTTAAAAATTGTTTATGAAAATAACCTCATATAGGGTACATTTTATCGTATCCTTGTACATTTTCCTATTTAATACTTAGATTACTTCCAAAGAACTGCAGTCAGTCCCAGCTAGGCCGAGTTTCCATCTTAAAAAAAATCTAAAGTTCTCCAGAAAAAAATGCAAATCGTCAAGCATTACTTTCGCATACAAAATTTTACATTTACCCTGATCGGAATCGATGTCAAGTGCTTCTTATCCAATGGTGGCGAACGTATCATCAAACACCCTTTCCTGCTGCTGATAATAATTGTTATGCCTGTCCTGCAATATCAAGGCCTAAAATGCCTACACAAATTCGCATGATATGACCACGGCCACATATTCCTTTTCATTGTCCTGCCAGGGTGTCATTTGTTTGACGAAAATTTTAATTTTTCTCTTTAAACGTAAGGACATTGTGAAATTGGTGAAATTGTTGCAAGAGGATATCCTGAATGGTAAATCGAATAGATGAAGAAGAAAAGGACTTTTTTAACTTTTTCCTTATCTCAGCTAACTCGGAAGAATTGGCCATCATAAGGGAGGAAAATGCCAGAGATGTTCTCCACTGTATCGTTTATGGTTCGGCCGTATTTTCAACGCGATTTTTGGTATCCTTGCACCGATTATTAAGACCACAGTTATCTATGCTAAGCAGGGGAAGCTGGTACTGGTACCACCACATCCAGCAACGTAAGTATATCCATATGTGTGGAGAGTGAAAAGGGTGGTTCGAATTTTCTCCCCCAAATAATATAAATCCATATTATGCCGCCCCAGCTACCTTTGGGACTATAGTAGCCTGCCGGGTTACTCCCTGGTCTACCTCTGGAATCTAATGCGTATGTACACATTGGCATTTGCCTCGGTGGCCATTGACAGTCTCTTCTCGTGGTTGGTGTGCAACATTGTGGCACAATTTCGCATTTTGACACAACGTTTTCATCGCGCAGCATGGGCCACGGTGGCCCTCGATGGTGTCAAAGAGGGGCAATTTAGCGCTGAACAGGAACACTAATGGCGGAATGTATTCGCTGTCATAATCGTACATTGGATGTGGTCCAGGAATTGAATCGTGTGTATGGTGTCATAATTTTTGTCAAATTTGTCGTTTCGAGTGCTCAGATATGTTGTTCGGCATTTTATCTGAACAGCTTCGAAACAGGTCAATCAAAGGCGAAACTAATGTATCAATTTTTATTGCTGAGTGCGGTTGCACTGCAGCTAATGTTGTACTGTACAATGGGCAGAGGATAGCGGATGTGGTAAGTCTGTGGGGAGAAAGGTCCTCTGAAAATACTTTTTTTAATGAATATTTTTTCATGGTCTAATAGAGGCGTGTATTTTTTAAAGAATATTTTTTCAAGGACTAAAATAGGCGTGGATTTTTTAAGGAAGGTTTTGTTAAGGACTAAAATAGGCGTGGTTTTCTTAAGAATACTTTTCATGGACTAAAATAGGCACGGATTTTTTTAAAGAATATTTCAAGGACATATCGAAGGATATTTTGTTAAATACTAATATGTTAATAATAATTGTTTGTCCTCTTTTCCAGAGCTCGCTGGTGTCCACCAAAATCTTTTCCATATTTCCATGGTCCAAAATGCCTGTGTCGACTCAACGCAAGTTGCTGCTGCCAATGATGCATGTCCAGCGTCATAGTCAATTGCGCGGCGTATTCTTCACTGTCGATTTGAGTTTGTATTTGTGGGTGAGATGAGGTCCCATTTTCAAAAAAATATAAATTCTAAATAATTTATATCTAAGTAAATAATTTTTACGTATGTGTTTGTAGGTCTTTAAGACAGCTGGCTCATTGATTGCTGCTTTGAAAACTTTGGAGGAAGATAAGTAAAGAATATTTTGAGGATTTAACTTCTGAATATTAATTTTTGTGTGTGTATTAATGTGTCGTAGAATAAATAAATTAAATAAATGTTTTGATCTGATACCACGAAATTTGGCATAGCGTATTGAATTAATTCGAGAATGATGCGTGTTAAGTTTCATGAAAATCGGTTCAGATTTAGATATAGCTCTCATATATATTTTCGTCCGATTTTACATAAATAGTGCACCAAAGTCCCTAAATATCTTTCGATTTGCACGAAATTTGGCACAGCGTACTGAATTGGGTCTAGAATGATTTGTATTCAGTTTCCTGAAAATCGGTTCAGAGTTAGATATATCTCCCGTATATATTTTCTTCCGATTTGAGATAAATAGTGCACCAAAGTGCCTACATATCCATCGATTTTCACGAAATTTGGCATAGCGTACTGAATTAAGTCGAGAACGATGTGTGTTACATTCCATGAAAATCGGTTCAGATTTAGATATAGCTCCCATATATATTTTCGTCCGATTTTAGGTAAATAATGTACTGAAGTCCCTACATATCCTTCCATTTGCACGAAATTTGGCATAGCGTACTGAATTAAGTCGAGAACGATGTGTGTTAAATTTCATGAAAATCGGTTCTGATTTAGATATAGTTCCCATATATATTTTCCTCCATTTTAGGTAAATAGTACACGACTTTAAATCTGCCCGAATGAAATTAAATTTATCATAGGTTGCAGAAAGACATGTAAGGATACATATGCACAACATACTCAAAGTGGTGAAGGGTATCATATGGTCGGCCCCGTCCGACTTTACTACTTTCCTTACCGGTTTTATTTAATAATTAAAAAAAGTATTCTTTAATAAATCCACGCCTTGTATGGGCCTTGAAAAAATATTCTTTAATAAATCCACGCCTTGTATGGGCCTTGAAAAAATATTCTTTAATAAATCCACGCCCTTTTTACTCCTTTAAAAAAATATTCTTTTAAAAATACACGCCTTGTATAGGTCCCTGAAAATGTATTTCGTGAAAAAATCCATTCCTTTGTAAGTCCTTGAAAAAAATTCTTAAAACAGTAAATCCTTGTGTTTGGCCTTAACAACGAGTTTTAAATAATTCACGCCTACGGAAGATCCTTGAAGAGAATATTTTTTAATTTTAATCCACACCTTGTTGAAATGGCAAAAGGCGTTTTTTTTTTGTGGAAAAGGCTGGCTGAACAGTGTTATTTAGATAATAACAATGGACTGAAGATTATATGTTTCAACTTTAACGTGTGCGGGTATAATATTTTATTACTTTTTTTTGATTTTTTTTTCTAAAATAAACTTATAAATCGCTTATTTTATACAATGTTGCACAATAACGGTTCTGTCTGTATAATTATTTATTTCTGTCTATCCCCACAAAAATCGATAACAAAAATCTTTGAGTGTCCTTACGACGAAGGTTATGTTTCTGGCCAACAGTTGGCCGTGGTCCTTTCTCTTGTGTTGTTATAAAAATCGTAAAATCGCATCGAAAATGCAAATTGTGAAAAATTATTTTGTTACCCAACGCGCAGCATTTTCTGGTTTGGGTGTTGATGCTCAGTCAATGACACCCGCCGGTTCGGATCGCATCTTTAAGAATCCTTTGCAATATTTACTGTTATTTTTTCTAACCGTTTCGCAGTATCTCTCACTTGGCCATTATTCGTATGTCAATACGAATGATATCATTTCGGCGGCCTATTCGATTGGTCTGTCGTGTCAGGGTGTTATTTGCATCACGAAAATGATTATTTTCTTTTTTAAACGTCGCGGAATTGTGGAGTTGGTTAAGACGCTGCAAACGGAGGCATTTAATGGTAGGTTAAAAAAAAAATTTAAAAAAACTCAATTTTTTAACACTGAAGACCTTGAAAAAAAATCTTAAAAGGTCCTTGAAAAACTCACCTCGATTAGAGCATGAAATTCGCTATTATTTTCCTCTCTTTCCAGCCAAGGACGAGGAATTGGAAATAATTAGAGAAGAAAATACAAAATGTGTGCGCTACTCCTGGCTGTATTCTTTGGTGATTTATGGAACCGGTACTATGGGCCTCATGGTACCGATTATTCTATCCCTAATAGGATATTTTAAGAGTGGATCACTGAGAATGGTGCCACCGCTGTCATCACCGTAAGTATTGCCAGAAATTGCCCAAAACAATGCACTTAATTTTTGTTTTTTGCTCCCAGTTCTCTTTGGAATTATTACACCATTCACGGTTACCTAATGCTCTATGTCTGGTACATACTTCGCATGTTCACCTTGATCTGTACGACAGTGAGCATTGACACACTGTACTATTGGCTGATTTCGAATATTGTGGCGCAATTTCATATTTTGGTCCATCGTCTGCAAAAGGCTGCATGGGCCACGGCCGCCCTTAATGGCTCTGAAATTGGCGTGAGCGAAGAACAGGAAGACCGAATCATCGATTGTATTCGTGTTCATAATCGTACATTGGATTTGGTTGGTGAATTGAATCGCGTCTACGGCGCCATTACTTTTGTAAAATTCGTCGTATCCAGCATTCAGATATGCTGTTCCATGTTTTTTGTGATAAGCTCCGGTTCGCAGCAGTCGGCAATTAGTTTAATCTATCAGGGTGTATTTATTGGTGCCGTGACATTGCAATTGGCCACCTATTGTTATAATGGCCAGCGCATAGTGGATGAGGTAATAATCTTGAATATCTTTTCCCCAAATATTTGCAAAAAATTTTCAATTTTCAGAGCACCTTGGTGGCAACTAAGGTCTATCTGATTTTCCCCTGGGCACAAATGCCAGTCTCAACACAACGCAAGCTGTTGATGCCAATGGTTCGGGCCCAGGTGCCCAGTGAAATGCGTGGAGTATTTTTTAAAGTGGATTTAACATTATTTTTGTGGGTAAGTGGACAACCCCAGCGGAACAACATTTTTGTAATGTATTTTTTTTTTTGACAGGTCTTTAGATCGGCCAGTTCATTGATGGCGGTTCTACAAACTTTAGATGAACCATAAGAAAGCTCATTATGAAGAGATGCACGATTTGAATTTCAATTAAAAAAATGCAATTAAAAGTAGAATATCAAATAAAAATAAAAATTAGTTTCAACACCCATTATGTGATTGGATTTTTTTAGGATTTTTTAGGAATAGGCGTGGATTTTTTAAAGAATATTTTTTCAAGGGCCAACACAAGGCGTAGATTTTTTTGAAGACTATTTTTTCAAGGACCAACACAAGGCGTGGATTTTTTAAAGAATATTTTTCAAGGACCAACACAAGGCGTAGATTTTTTTGAAGAATATTTTTTTAAAGGACCAACACGAGGCGTGGATTTTTTAAAGAATATTTTTTCAAGGACCAACAGAAGGCGTGGATTTTTTAAAGAATATTTTTTCAAGGACCAACACGAGGCGTGGATTTTTTAAAGAATATTTTTTAAGACCTACAATTAGGCTTGGGTTTTTTTTAGAAATATTTTTATACCCTTCACCACACTGTGGTACAGGGTATTATGTATTTGCGCATATGTTTATAACAGGCAAAAATAATCGAGATAGACCCATGGTTCCTTTTGAGAATATGCATAGAATCACTTTCTAAGTCGATTTATACATGTCCGTCTGTCCGTCCGTCTGTAGATGTTAAATTGTAAACAAAGTACAGGTCGCATTTATGATCCGATTTGGATGAAATTTGGCATAGGTCACTTATTTGGCCCAAGGACATACCCTATTAAAATTGAAGAAAATCGCTGCAGATTTGGATATAGCTCCCATATATATATATATCTTCGTCCGATATAATGTTATATATCTATATATATTTCGATTTGCACGAAGCGAAATTTAGGTCTAGAATGATGTGTGTTTAGCGTGAAAATGAATTAGGCCATATATAGAATGATGTGTGTTGAGAAATTTCCGTAATGAATTAGGAATATGTGTGTCGGTCTAGATATATAGCTTCCATATATATCTCCCATATATATTTTCGATTTGCCGAAATTTGGATTAATAACGTAAATGATGATCCAAAGTCCCTATATATCTTTCGATTTGAACGAAATTTGGCACAGCGTAATGAATTAGGTCTAGAATGATGTGTGTTGAGTTTCCTGAATATCGTTCCAGATTTAGTTATAGCTACCATATATATTTTCGTCCGATTTAATGTAAATGGTGTACCAAAGCCCTTATATATCTTTCGATTTGAACGAAATTTGTACAGTCTAGAATCATGTGTGTTAAGTTTTCTGAAAATCGGTTCAGATTTTGATATAGCTTCTATATCAGAACAAATGAAATATTTAGTATCGGTTGCAGAATGAAATGTTTATGGATCCAATTTCATTTTACTGGTCCTTTAAAAATGCGACGTCTATTAGCATTTATCTGTTGAATATATCCAAAGTGGTTAAGGGTATCATATAGTCGGCCCGTCTGACTTTCCTGGTTTAAGGTGTGGAATTTTTTAGAAATATTTTTAAGGTGTGGATTTTTTTTACAAATAATCTTATTCCCTCGAGCCTGAGCGGAGGTTTTCCGTACCGCTGGTGTCAGGTGCCCCTTGATCTGTTTATCCAGCCTGACAGTTGGTGTGGCCCCCTGGGGAGCTTCGCGGGGGTTGTGATTTCGCCTCTCACCAAGGGGGAGAGTAAGCCTTCTGCATGCTTTCCAATTGGTACAGCACTTTGCTGCTGGTGCGCTGGTGGGCGCATATCCGCCTGTGGCTCAGCCACTGCGAGGTAGGCCTATGGGCAGGTACTCGCATTAAACACTTTCAGATACCCTACACAACTATGTTGTCAGGGTATTATAGCTTTGTGCAGCCCAAAGAGTTTGTAACGCCGCGAAATATTGGTCCTAGACCCACCTTTAAGTCATATCTCGACCAGCTGAATCGATCGAGACATGTGTCCGTCCACAGTTATGGACCAATCTTCACGAAATTTTGCATGTAGGAAGGGTTCTGGCCAATGAAGATCCCTATTGTTTTTTGAAAAGATCGGTTAATATTTAGGGAATGAAATGGACCAAAAACTTTATTTTTGTCTGATTTTCTGGTCGCTCCAGAGGCCGTAATTATGGCCTAAACATCGCGAAATTCTACATGGAGAACTGAAACGGGCTAAAGAATGAGGATGCCTGTTTTGATAAAGATCGGTCAATATTTAGCGGGTCAAATGGACCCTGACTTTTGTGTGAAAAATTACAAAATATGTATTCTTTTACGTATATATTTACTCCTGAAGGACATAGACCCGATAAGTTGATAGTATATCCAAGTATAGTGGTTGACCTTTAATTTGATACCAATTATATTGTCGTATGTACTCGGATGTGGGAGTTACACTTAAATATTTACAGCTGCATACGTATTTGGATATTATTTACTAAATCATTATCACACTAGAGGGCGGAAATATAGCACTGATCGTTTTGAAATTGTCCACGAGGATCCAGGTATGGTCAAGGGCAACGTATATAATTTTCGATGATGATCAGATTAAAATTTTGGGATGAAGTGGACCGAAAACTAAATTTTGTTATGTTTTTATTCGAGTCAATATATAGGCAGGACAAGTAATTAGAAGGTCTGTACTGAATATTGGGATATTCGGAAAATATGTCAATGTAGGGAAGATGTGATGTTGATCTCTAATCGGTCAAGAGGGTGTAAATATCCCGAAATATTGACCAGGTTCAAAATAAACATACGCAAAAAATAGAGTTCCGTGGTAGTTGTGTAGGGTATCATATGGTCGACCCCGTCCGACCATACTGCTCCGTTCACTGGTTTAAGACCTACAATTAGGCGTGTGTTTTTTAAGGCCAACAATGCCTTTTTCTGAGAGTTAAAAATTTAATAAATTTTTTTGAACATTTTGCTTTATTTTGTCTTTATTTCATTGGTTCCATCATGTACTTCCTCTTTTGCCGGTCGACCATTGTGTTGCGTTACTACAATTACATCAACATTTCGAAATCATAGTCACATTCAAGGTTATCCGTTGGTCTACTTTTGGAATGATTTTATGATTTCAGTTTGTGTTCATGCTTGACTTGCGACATTGTCGCCCAATATCGTATTGTGCTATGCTATGCTCTCAATAGACCGCCATTGCATTCATTATCCACGGCCGCGTCGTCATGGTGAATGCCGGACAATAAAGAACGGTCAATTATGAGATGCATCAATTTGTGTAATCCTACATCATGAATTTGAACTGGGCATTTATGGCTGCTTATAATTGGCAAAGGGCAAAAATTCCGCTTGAATGTAGAGAATAGACTTTATTTCATTTTGCTACTGAAATTAATTTGAAAATTGTTCTGTACACCAGGTTTCAGTTTTGAATTTAAAAGTTATTCACATTTTTTATTAAATTGTTTCAAAAGGTTTTTTTATAAACAAATACACACGTTTTGGCACAAAAATATATCGGAAGCGTTAATTTTGGTTAAAAAAGAAGAAAAGCATTAATATATGGCACACACAATAAACGAATGTTCTAATGACTCTGCTGATCTATGGACACGCGCTTGTAACCGCTTTATTCAAATCTCTTTCTCAACTGAGTCCAATAAAAAGGTCACAGCAATAAGCAGAGATTTGATCTTAAAAAAGATTAACATATGAACCATTCCATAGGGAAGAAACGAAATATACAGTTAGGGTTATTAAATTAAGAGGAAATGAGGGCAATGTTACCATGATTCTGAAATCGAAATTGTTCAAGAATATGATCGACTACGGTATATGAAAATCCCTTCCGGTTTTATTATCTCTTCGTGGACCAGAATATGCCCTGTGTCCATTTATTCCATTATTGTCTCATATATATATTTCAGTCTGTCCATGTCCATTGATGGCGCCATCAATTAGTGCAGAACAAATGTCAATTGGGTTGTGTATAAATTTCATCATAATAAATTGGATCCGGTCTAGGAATTAGTGTGCACAATGACTGTGCATATTTTTTGGTTGTCTGAGGTTAGAGTTCAAGAGAAATCATTTGCTTAGAAAATTCTAATTTTTAATGAATTTGTAATTGATTTAAGGGGACCCCGCCCCCATTCTCGGTGTCAAAATTTTTTATGATTTATTTCGAATCTACTCTTACTCTAGAATGTCCAAACAAAATTTAAGCATCAAGTGACGGCAAGAGTGATTCTAAAACTTTAAACGCATTTTTCTCGAAGCAGTGTTTTACGAATGGCGGGCACGATAACTCAAAAACTAATAATCCAATCAGTTCCAAATTTTGACACGTTTCTCTGGGAGTGTGCAGCTCTCGTATGAACTAGGATAAAGGCAGTCGGTGAAGATCTTCCTTATTTTTGAACTTAGTTTGTGGTCGAAAATAGGCGATATTCAAAAAAAAAAAAAAAAAAAAAATCAAAGTTCCGCCATTTTGTTAATTGCTATGCGAAGTCAATAATCCTAGTTCTAACACCGTTGGAATTTTCGGATTCCGATGTTCCAGTGAGGAGTTATTATGCCCGCCATCAAAAATAAGGATTTTTTTTAAAGAAATTTTGTTGTTGGGGTTGAAAATTTCTATCGGGGATGTAAAACCTTGGTGCGTATACGAAAACCCCAAATGGAAAAAATTCCCCAAACTTCGAAGATATAGCGTGATCGTAATTTTTAATTTTTAATTTTTATCTTGATTTGTAGCTAGCTTTTTTCTGAGATTAGATTTTTTCAGTAGAATAAAATGAGGATTTTCGTTGTTGAATTTTTCGTCCTTCTAACTCGATTCCTTGTGTGTCCTTTCCGTGCTTAAGTTATTGAACCGGACTCCAAATTCCACAAGATGCGATTTTTCTTCCACGCAATGTTCTACAACAATGATGCTCATAACATTCTATGTGGAGTCCTCAAGAACGAGAAATCAATATTTTAATGTTTTAATGGTCTATTCTAAATGTTACTCCTTTCTAGTCACTAAAAGCCTATATGGGTATTTATTTTAAATACCTTCCGTATTATATAGAATTTTCGGATTC